AGTCGGCCTGTTCTGCTCCCCACTCTGTCTCTGGTGAATCCTCTCACCGCCCCTGCACCTCTGGCCTGTACCCCAGTTCTGTATGCATAAACAAATTAATCTTTAAAAAAATAATGTAAAATGCCCCTAACCCTAAAATTCCTTGGTTCTCCAACCTGCTTGAATCAGAAGTTTTACTCTGTACTAAATCAGAATATCTAGGGGTGGGGCCCGGGACTATGTATTTTCATGAACTCGCTCAGGTCATTCTGTACCAGTGTGGTACCCAAAGAAAGAGGAGGTTCCAGGTTTCCTGCCACACCCAAAGAAGGGTAGAGCTGAGCTTCGAGAAGAAGCCTGAGAAGACTTGGAAAAGGATGGGGATGCGGGGAGAAGACACAGACATGCGATTACTTCATGGCCTTGCCCCCTTGGGGGACATGGGAGGAAACACCTGAAAGAGACAGAGATGTGGGTGAAGAGACTGGTGGGGAGGCTGACAATGGCAGCCTTTATCTTGACTTGTATTTTGATTTTGCTTTTTTCCTTCCAGACTTGTCCGAACCCTTCTGCCCCTGTCCTAGGGTCCCCACCAGAAGGGGCTTAGACTGTGGCAGGCTTTCAGGCTCAGTGACCCCAGTTTGGGCCAACCCTGTTTGGCTGGGCATTTAACACAAAGGGATGGAAAACTGGGTACTTAACTGGAAATTATTTAACTCTATTACTTTTCTTCTCTCTATTGCACACCAATTCTATAAAAGTTCTTTTTATTGGTGGTGTTACTATATATATGTTTTGTTTTTATGCTGAGGATGGCAGAACCCATTTAATAAGTAGGCAGGTTTGGGGTGCCAGGGTACTCCTTATTCTGCTAGCTAACAATTCTTCTGACCTTCCGACCATGAAACTATTTAGCTAAATAAAGAGTGCATTCAGAATGAACCCCTTATATACAGCACATCTTAGTTTTAGGTAGAAGAGATAAATGATGCTTTATAGAAACAGAGTTACAGTTAGGCTTATATGACACAAGCTATGCAACGTCCATCATCTGACAGATTCCAGGTGGATGGGGATAAGCTTTGAAAAATCAGACTGTCCACTGCTAACTTATGTTATGACCTCCCTTTTTTGTATAATCATAATATCAAAATATTCTGAGCAGCATTCAGTTTACAACTGGATTGTCTTAGCCACACAGGCGGCTGCCTGGTTCAGGCAAGCTGCCCCAGGAGGAGAAATTCCTCTGTCTCCTGAGACAGAAGGCAAGCCCCAGGAGAAATAAGACCCCAGGACATAAAAACTCCTGGGAAGCTTCCTTGGTTTCTTTAAATAAAAAAGCAAACCTCAGATAAGGCTCCCAGGGCATAAGGACTCATGGACAAATTTTAACCTTGACTACACAGGTGTTGTTTGATACACAACTGTACAACTTCCTCTTAATTTACTCCTTTTTAAAACAAGCACTAACTACCCTCTGCTAGCCTTAAATTAGCCACTAGCCTTTCTTTAGACAATCACTGATAACACTGCTAACACAATTTATTACTACCCCAAGATCCCTAACAACCTTTTGCTAACAAGCTCACCCTTTCCCAGACCCCTCTTCCTTTGAGTGATAACTAGACAGCTGTATACATGATAACTATCACAAAACGTATAATCTATTATACCATAAATTGTTAAGAGAAGAATACTTTTTCCCCTTGTCCTTGAGAATGTTTTATAGAGATATCTCATTAACTTACCCTATGCGTTATTACAATTAACTACTTGCTACACAGTATAAATAAAGACCTGCTGAAGGAATGGCCGGAAGACTTGCACCCTATCCTGACTCCCGAGTCTTCCTCGCGCCCGCTCCCCTCTCCCTTTTGGAATATCCGCTCGCTGACGCCTTCCCATCTTAGGGTCCTGCCTGTGCTGCCTCCAGACACCTCAAAAGTTGGAGCTGGTCTCCAACACTTACACTTGTTTCAAAGTCCAGAACTTTTATAGGTTTCAGAACCTGTCAGTGACTCTGCATTATTATCTATGTATTTACCTATTTCAGAATCAGATGTGAGAGGTGTGGGTTTCCTGATAAACATGCAGACTTCTGGGTCCAGTACTCTACCCACTGAAGAAAACCTCTGGGACTTGAGGCCACATTTTGATTATTTATTTATTTATATTGAATATTTATCCATTCATTTAGTAGAAGAATGGAGCCAGTGTAGGGCATGAGACGATTTACCAGAGACAGAGAGGGGAGCAGAAAAGTGGATTTACTGAAATATACTCCTGAGGGGAGCAGTGGGCGAGACAAGAGGTCTGCTGTGCCACATGTAGCCTGCTAGGCCCCTGGCAGGAAGTAGAACTCAGCCTGTGACAGTGATTGTGCTGAGACTTAACCCCTAGGCCACCAGGAAGGCCCAATTTTATGAAAAGTTCCCTGGAAAACTCTAGAATACACCAAAATCTGAAAATCTTGTTTTGAGGGTGTGTCACTAGCTATTTGCACAAGTTGGGCAAATCACAGATATTGTAACAACCCTGCATCCTGAAAACATTGAAATCCCTCCCCTATCTGTCACCATCCGAGTCTAAACAAATGTGAATATTCACCTTCTTGGCAGCAGTGTAAATGTCTTCTCGGTTACTGCAGTCCACAATATAGGTATGAGTTCTGGCACCCAGTTTCCTGCATTCGGCAGCTGTTTCCTCAATTCCATGCTAGGAAAAGGAACAAAGAGAATAAAAATTAGTGAAATGCAAATCAACTTAAGAGTTCTGAGTGATTTAATTGACACAAATTTTGACAATGTGACAGGCACTTTGCTCTGGGTCCTCCCTGGTGGCACAGTGGGTTAAACCACAGCACAGCTCTCTGCAGCTACTGAAGCATAGGTTCGATCCTCGGCTATGGAGGTGACCCACATGGCGTGGCAGACTTCTTCTGGCCCGCCCGCTGCTCCCCTTAGCAGTGTATTTCAGTCAATCTGCCTGTTCTGCTCCCCACTGTGTGCCTGGTGAGTCCTCTCACCCTCTGTACCCATGGCCTGTACCTCAGTTTTGTATGCACAAATACATAAATCTTAAAAAGAAAAAAAAAAAAGCTAAGCTGCTACTCATCACACAGTAGGCAAATTTGGAAAGCTTGACTAGAAAGGAATAGGTAAGGTGTTTATGGGAACAGATCCATCACTCTGGCCTTGAATGTAGAAACAGAATCAGGACACGTCTGTGCCAAAGGTCAAGCCCACAAGCAGACATCCTAGCAGGTAGCAGGTTATGAGAGCCTCAAATCCTTTCTCCAGTGCAGACAACCTCTGTCTTGCATGCTACTCCCCACAGCAGTATAATCAATAATCCTCCTTTCCTGTTCTTAACTCTTGCCTCTGGTGAATGCTTTCCCTCTCTTGCCTTCAGGCTTCACCCCATTGTCCCTACTACAACTTCTATTTGGAATTGAAAGCAATTTTTTTGAAAGATAAACATATATGTGTGTGTGTTCCTGATTAGACCTTAAAAAACAAACAAAAAGACAAAGCTTTAGCTATATAAAAATTAGTTAACTACAATTTGTTCATCCATTTGTTCATTTCTCCAGCATTTTAACAGGCAGGTCATATTCCTGATGCTTAGAAAAGCTTTGTGGGGGCCCTCACAGTGGCAGAGCACTGTGAAGCTATTACAGCCACTGCAGCATGAGTTCGATCCCCTGCAATGGAGGTGACCCACATGGCGCAGCAGACCTCTCCTGACCCACCCACTGCTCCCTACTCGAATCTCTGGTGAATCCTCTCACCCCCACTCTCACACCTCTGGCCAGTACCCTAGTTCTTTTTTGAATAAATAAGAAAATCTTTTTTAAAAAATAGAAAAACTTAAACATGGAGCTTCCCTACGACCCAATAATCCCACTCCTAGGTATCTACCCAAAAGACACAAAAACACTGATTGAAAAAGATCTTGTACCCCCATGTTTATTGCTGCTTTATTTACAATTGGAAAAACATGGAAGCAGCCCAAATGCCCAAAAGTAGATGACTGGATTA